TGGTGCCCCTGTGCTGGGAGAGCCGGAATTGAGACCCCAAGATGCGCATGTCACATCCAGGGAGCCCAGCCTCTGTTAGCCAGGCTGAGAGCCCCTGTCAGTCCCCGCTGAGCTGGGCTGGGTTGGACATCAGCTTGTGACCCCGAGGTGTCAGGCTGGGCACTAGCACATCCCTGGGGCAGGCAGAGCCCCTCCACAGGGCTGGGGTGAACGTGCACCCAGATATATAATTCCCATGTCAGGACTTGCAGGACCTCAGTGACATCCTTCTCCTCCCCGATGAATACTGCTCACACCTGCCGTGCCGGGGAGCCCAGGGCAAGGCTGCTGCGCCTGAGGAGATGAGAAAGCGTTTGCAGGCTCTGGTGCGGGAGGCTGGTGCGTGGTGTGCCGTGGATTTGCTGAAGTGCCTCAGGCACAGAGGACTGTTCCCCGTGCTCACTCACCGTCTGTCTGGACCAGTGCAAATGTGCTGGGAAAACATAGCAGCATACCGGAGATTTTGCACAGGCCTGGATACCAACCACAAGCTCTTCCGTTCCCTTCTTTTGGGTGTCCTGGGTCTTGAAGGGGGCTGGCTGGGCATTGAACCCCTGATCCTCACATGTCACATGAGAGCAGTGACTGTGAACAAGTGTGTGAGGTCCGGGGGGCAAACAACCAGCCAGGAGCTCCCAGTGCGACGCTGTGAGGAAACGTTCCGGGGATGTCGGACAATGTAAAAGCAGCAGTGTTGGGCAGGGATGCTGTCTTTTCTACAATGTCTGTGTGTGTGTAGCATTGGGAGCCATAACCAGGTCTGGGGGTCGCATGTGGGACAAGGGGGAAGAGGAGAGAGGCGCCAAGAAGAACCAAAGCAGTGATTCAAAGCTTGGTGAGAACAGCTCACAATAAGCTGTCGAAAATACGGCCCATGAGCTGGATCCAGTCCCCAGAGCCATGTCCTGTGGTCTGCAGGGCTCCTGGAGGGGGCAGGAATCTGGGGTGGGACAAGCAGGGGAGGAACCGCCACTGAATTGCAGGGTGCGGAGCCGCCATGGACGTGTGCTGCAGCGCTGGGGAGTGACTGAGGGCTGCGTGAATCCCTGAGGCTCCCCAAGCTGACACCGATCTGCTCCGATCACGGGTGCCACTGCTCCCACAACTGCAGGCGGGGGTCTGGATCCAGACTGTGCAGATCCCTGCAAGCCAGATCTAGCCCTGAGTGCCAGGGAGAGGCTAAGTGGATTTATTCCCAAGGGCCTTGTTTATTCCAGTGGAAAAGACTGGGAAGATCCCTGTGCTGCAGCAGGGATACAGAGCTGGGTCTTCCCATCCCACACCAAACAAACACAACACAAACCCCCCCAGCCCCTGGACCCCTAGACTGAGAGATCTTGAATCAGGTGACATCCAAATATTAGTTTGGAAGCGCCCCATGGATGGAGGGTACGGGGGTTAGGAGGGATTTGTCCCCTGCTACTCAGATAAGCCTATTATAAGTGCCTCCTCATATACAGTGTGCTTGCACCAGAAAAATATACTCGGTACCAAAAGGCCCTGCTAATTGCAATGAAAAGTCTCTGAAGAAACCTGCGTACTAGCAGCAATTCACAGCTGGGCCCTTCCCATCCCACTGAGTGCCCTGAGCACCACAGCATCTTTGCTTTTGCAACAAGCTCCCTTCTCTCTTCTATTTCTCCCTCTGGTCTTGACGGAAAGAACAACCTAGAGCATGGTTGTTGGTTGTGGCATTGGGTGTTTGTGCTCAAAAGCTTGAAGCTCAAAAACATTTTTTCCAACTATATTTCCTAAGAGATATCAAATCTACCCAAAGCACCTTGGCAACCTGGAGCAGAAAAAGCTTTTCCCGCTGTAACTTTCTTGAAACACCTCCCTGACCACCCAACGTTGACTCTCTGAGGAGCAAAGGTGTTTCCCCATTGAACAATATAAATAGCTTCTCAGACAGCTCGACCTAAAAATGCTAAATGCATGGTTTCGTCTGTGTATTATAGACCCAGTTTTCTACAGAAGTGGATTATCTTGTCTTCTTTCTTTCCTTGCATGTCATGAGCTCGTGTTTGACACAGGAATATGAGATGCGCACCAACAGTTATAAGAAAAGGAAACTAAAGCTTAATTTATTATCCTACGTCTACTCTTAACTTCTATGACATTTTCAACACTACATATTACACTAAATCTATCTTCAACCATACACATTGTTGGGCCTTTGCTTTCTTCTCTCCCTGAATGGCCCATGATGGCATTGAAGGCAGGCTACTAACACAACAGACACCGGGATGGTCTGACTATGTCCCGATGCCTCAGAGGAAGGCGAAAAACCCCCAGAAGTTGATCCCATAAATGAAGGGGGGGAAAATTCCTTCCTGGCCCCAAACGGCGACCAGCCAAAGCCCTGAGGCAGGGGTCACAAAATGCCATCCACACAACAAGAACGTCCTCCACTTGGCAACCTGGGCTGGAAGAAGATATTCAAGTTCTTCACCATGAGGGTGTCTCAGGCTGCTTCTCTTTGCAGAGGCTGACTTGTCTGTGGAGGACGGCTCGGACTGGATCGTGACTTGTCAGTCGGTGACGTGTGTGGTGGCTTCGGCGCTGTTGCAGCTTTTCTCTGTAGCTGTCGGGCTCCCGGTGAGGTTGGGGAGGTCGTCTTGTCTCAGGGAGGTGCTGTCCGGGTCAAGATGGACTGCAGGTGTTGCTACGCAGTGTAAGAAAAAGCAGCACAAGATTAGATCCATGCATTGGGACCGTGATACAAGGCTGTGATGTGAAGAAGTGGGGACTGGGAGCTTTCCCAGGACACAAAGGCCTGAACAAGTGAATGAGGGAAAACACAATAGACCGTGCTTAGCCTCCTGCATGGAAGAAGCTAAACATCTTTAGGCATCACTGCCCAGCCACGTTCAAGATGAGGTAGATGCTCTGAATGGACAACCCCAGCGCCAAAAAGGCCATGGAAGAGAGAGCTACAAGCAAGGGAAAGCAGGTCTCCGACTGTGGGAGCCACAGCAGCATTTAACAGGAGGCAGAGGGGCC